AGTCTTTCTAGCCATTTCAAACCGGAGCAACACAGCAACACATGGAAAATAAGGTAGGAAAATTATATCGGGAAGGAAAGACTACAGACTGTAGGCCGCTTCAAATACCTAAGAGCATTGTTTCAGAAGAAGGCTCCAACCCCGAACTGACTTCCAGGATTGCGCAGACTACAACAGCAGTAAAGAGCCTCTAGAAAATATGGAATGACAAAAATTTAGCCCCCCGCACCAAAATCAGGCTGATGCGCTCATGAGTCCTCTCCATTTTCCTGTATGCCTGCAAATCCTGTAAATTAACAGCCGATCTTGAAATGGAAATAAAGGCGATTGAGATGAGATGCTTCAGAAACATTTGTGCCATCTGCTCTAGAGACCATATCTCCAATGAGAAAGTGAAAGAAAAAAAATGTTCGGGGGAGTACAATGACCTACTGGTGATTGTGAAAAAACGCAAACTAAAATGTTACGGCAACATAACAAGGAAACAAGGGCTTGCCAAAAAAATATTGCAGGGCACCACAAGAGGAGGGAGAAGAAGAGGAAGACAAAGAAAAAGATGGAAGTATAACATCAAATATTGGACAAGACTAACACTGGGCGAAGCTGTGCGTAGTGCATAAGACAGAGAGGAATGGAGGAGGATAGTTCACATGTCCTCTGTGGCACCCCAACGGTCCAAGGACTAAGGGACATGATGATTATGATGATGAAGCTGACAGGCTCGGAATTTCCGTTAGTAGTAAAAACTAGCTGCAATTTTAATAGGGATTATTTGATACTGTGTCAGAATGCTACGATTTACAATATTATGGTTATACTTACCTAATAACTGATTTTTTTTTTTTATTTGTTCTCAAAATCGCACTTTGGACATATTTGTCTCATAAAATGCTAAAGATAAAAAGCTTTTAGTCCGATTTTACAATGATTCTTATCATTATAATCAACATACAAATATATAGAAACATAATAAACACTAGAAAGAGTCTAGTCGGTGAGATTCGACTGAAACTGTCGTGGAGGAACACGTTATAGATATGAGAATGGGGAAAAAGCACGCCCGCATTAACACTAAACTTTGCTGTCATGTAGCGGGCCGTAAATTAACGTCTTTGGGGCCGCCAGTCTTAGACCCCTGTACTTTTAAATATATATATTTTATTATTATTTTTAAATATCGTTAATTGAAATTTTAGTGTCAGTTCCTTATAAGGTATCCAGATTACAGCAAGCAAAATTCTGACAAACTGATGGAAACTGTTTTAAACAGTTGTGAGAGGAAATTTTTAAGATGTTTGGTTTAACTGACCTACTGCCATAATGGCTCAGAACATCTTAAATACACAGAGAAAAACCACGAAGACCACCGACGTTAGTTAACGGTATGCCAGAAAATGGTGACACTACGATAATCCTAGGCCATTACGGCACCTCCTATAGGTGAGGTCTTAACTGGACCTTTCCGGGGCCTAACAAAATGGGGTCAAGTAAAACTTGTAAATGTTATTTTGCAGAATTTTTTTTTTAATAATAACGTCATAAATCTGTCCTTTCAATATATCTATATAACCGTATTGATTTTATAAATGTATTTTGGGCAAATGTGGCTTTGCTTCATAATAAGGTATGTTTTGCTTATTTCGAAGGCTATTTTGTTTTTAAAAAAATTTGCATTCAGATTGTATTATGACGGTGGCATATTAAAGAAAGGGCACGGAGTATTTATGGTTGATCTTGGCATAGCGGATTTCATCATGGGCCTGTACCTTACAGTTATTTTTTCTGTTGACATTTACTTCAGAGGCAAGTATGTACTGTTTGGAGAGGAAAAGCGCGCCAGTATTTTTGTGTAAGATCTCCGGGTTTTTATCTACACTGTCAAACGAAACTTCCACTTTCTTTATACTACTGATAACTCTGGACAGGTTTTTGGTGATACGATTTCCTTTTGGTGAGTACCGAATAACAAAGTTTGTTAAAGTCCTTTCCATTTTAGCCTCTTGGTTCATTGGGTTCCTAATTTCAGTAATTCCTGTTGTATATACACAGTGAAAAACATATTCCTCCAAAGGCATGTGCCTGGCTTGACCGCTGACCATCGACCGTGAAAAGGGCTTGCAGTATGCAGTTGGATTGTTCACTGTCTTTAACTTTATTTTACTCGTAGAGCTAATTCCATTAGACAAGTTTTAATTTTTCTTTCATTGCACAGCGTATACCTGCTAACATATTCAATGCTGCAAGACGTAAACAATACATAAAGGTTGCTAAGCAACTATTTATAATAGGGTTTTTTTTCAAACTTTCTGTGTTTGTTTCTAATCTTCGTCACTTGTTTAAGGTCTCTATATGGTTATGTAGTAATTGATGATACATACGCCTGGTTTGTTATATTTATCGTACCACTGAACGCCGCCCTTAATCCAATCATCTACACTATTCCAGCCGTATACAGAAAATGGATGGAAATAAAAAAGTGTTAAGCTTTGTTGAATCTTGTGAATGTCTTCTAATCAGAAGTAGATGCAAAAATATCCAGAACTTAAATTATAAATAATGTAGACATTAATAAAAATCAAATTCTGGTCTGAATTGTCTAATGCTGGTGTTTAGTAAGACACATTACTATAAATAAAAATATACTGGATTATATTATTTTGTACAACTTAATTTACTGAATTTTTTTTTTTAAGTTTCCATCTTTCAAAAAATATATGTCACAGACTATTTTGATTCCATTTCTTCAATTTTTAAAGAAATTAAATAGAAATATTTTAACATTGAGGCCCATTAATTAATTTGTTGACTTCTGATTTAACTTAATCTGTAATGGACTAAATAAAATGATTTACGTATTTTGTATTTATAGTTTTTTCTTTTCAACTAAAGAATTTTGTAATAAATCATCTTTTAGTTCCCTAAAATTAAAAACACATTTCAAGAAGTATTAACCGAATTTTGAGAAAATCCAAATAAAGTTTAGAAACTTATCGAAATATGTTATACTTATAGAACCTCATTTAACCATGTTACAATTTCTAATTTAGGACTGTAAAAACGTTAAGTTATAGTTATTTTTACATAAATTTAATTTTAAAATCTTTCTTTACTGGACTTCGAAGCTGCCACATGTCAATCAATTGATTAAAATCAATATCCTACCTAGTATCAATTTAAATTTATAGTAGTAGTAGAGCCAGATCAGAAAGCCTTGACTGCCCCATGGTGGATCGTAAATAGTTTTAATAAGCCTAATTTTTGAAAAGTTCCGCTCATGTGAAACCAGAGACACACATATAGTAAGAAAAAGTTGGAAGCTTAGCAACAGTTTTGGAAGAGATTCTAGGACGTCCCATTCAGTTATAAATTTCAAAACATCAAATACTGACAAGTCTATGACTTTGAGACATTGATTATCAGCAGCCATAAGGTGTTTTAAAAGAATTGATATTTCTTTTAAAAGTTCGTCAGTTAAAGAGGGTAATTTTGGAACGGAAACTAATAACTCTTCTTCACTTACTGATAGAAGAATCTTGGACTGAACAGCCCCAAACATATCTGCAACTTCTTTGATTGATGATGCTCTTTTCTGGGATTCATAATGAAAGCGATCAATACACTCCAGCATCTCGCAGAGAGCGTCCAGCGTCTATTAATTGTTCTTCTGTTCTTTTCTTCTTAAACCTTAATCTTCTCTCTACTGACATTCCATATTGGACTAATTTTAAAATTGCCTTTCCAATAGCATGTAACACCAAGTGACGGCGCTTCTCGTGCAGAAACAATCTTAAGGCCTCTAGATTTGTTACCATTTTGTCAAGAGTGAAGCATTGGTCTGCAGTAAGATTAATTTCCTCAAGTAGATCAGCCCAAAGGTAAAAGTAGCAGATAAATGTGAAATCCCAGATAGCATGTAAAGGACCTTGTGATTCACCTCGTGTGTCCAAATTTTGAAAAGGATCACACGGAGCTACAATCAACGCAAAAAAATTCATCAAACTCATCTATCACTGTTTTAACAGCAGCACGATGAGCACTCCAAAGTTTTGTTGACAGTCTTTTCACCAAAACATTCAATGTGTGTTCGATAGGAAACATTCCATCGATGAGTGGATGCAGCAAAGAAGGAAAATATTCTTTCAAGAGTACCGAAAAATGTCTCACATGAAGCATTTTCGGCAAAAGAGTGTTGACGACACGAGTTAATCGAATGGTACACACATCATTAAAAATCGCTTTCTTATTACTTCTTTTCAGAATGGCCTTAATCACGTCAATGGAATCCAGACATTGGGGCAGTATTATCGTAACCTTAAGCTCTGCACATCATTATGTCTAATACATCACATTTAAGATTTGTAAGAATTTTAGAGCTGAGGTCATCCGATTTTTTTCCGTCCTAACGGGAAAATACAAGAAACATTTCTCTCACTTCAATTTTTCGCATTGTGAATTTTCAAAAATCTGATCACTTCAGACATCTGGTATCAGTGTGATATATTATGTGTACTTTGGAAAATAATTTCAAAATTCCTCGAAGCCTTTATAAACATTATAAGAATCTCCTTCGCGTGATTTGCAAGGACATTGATAAATTAAGTTTGGGTTCTAGTGAAAGGTAAGATGCGGATGCTTTTAAAGTACATGTACCGTATTTGTCGGCGTTTAAATTAAATTAATTATTTTTTTTTTCTCTTTATTTTTTATACTGTAGACTTATTTGATCAAGAAGAAATCTATCATGAAAGCCGAACAAAAGGGGGGGGGGGGTTGGCACTGGATGGCACTATACATACATTATATATGTACCGTATTTGTCGGCGTTTAAATTAAATTAATTATTTTTTTTTCTCTTTATTTTTTATACTGTAGACTTATTTGATCAAGAAGAAATCTATCATGAAAGCCGAACAAAAGGGGGTGGGGGGTTGACACTGGATGGCACCATACATACATTATATACATTTAAATATATACTATTATATATTTCGCACCCCCCCCCCAACTTTACGCCATCCCTTTGCCCCATCATGTAGCCCGCTGATTGAAGCTACGCTCACATCCAGAGTTTCGTCCCTACAAATAAGGTCAGCACAATACGGAAACATTTTAATCGACGTGCCTTGAAATGGATCAAGTGTTTTCAAATGGATCCAGTCTTACCATTTAAACTTTTGTCGACAAAGCCACAAGAATGGCATTACTATAATTTGTTTTACACCTTTGAACATTTTTTTTTAAAATTTAATTTTCTTTTAAAAAGAAAATAATCGTTCGTTTTATCTTTAGTTTTTACATAAAGGTCCCGTGTAACTCATTGGTAACACATTAGAACGTCATTCAACTTATCAAAAAAGAAATAGTAACAAAAATTATCTTAATATTCATCTGATATCTGAAGTTGGATTACAGTCGATGAAATAAGCTATATCCATGTTACTCGTATACGTTGTGGTTTCATTCATTGAATTTATCATCGACATTATAACTTTGCACATGTTGTACATTTTTACTTCCTTCTTTTCTATTTTGTTCTTTCAAACAACACACTAGTAATCAGCCGTATTACTTTCTATGAAGCTGAATCAATTTTGTCCATTTCGATCGATTCATAGGTATCAGCAGCATTTGTGTCATCCTCGTAGACACTGCAAGCCTGTTCATTGTCTTTTTTTTCAGATTTTCCTTCAAATTTCACTATGTATTTGTTGGATGCGTTTTGATATTTACCTGATAAAAGAAGCATAAGAAATTCATTGAAGCTATTATGATATGTAATACTTTCTTAATTTAAAAAAAAAATATATTCAGTGGCTTTCGAAGACATTTAAATTTACGTCATATATATTAAATTAAAGAATAGAGCCAAACATTTAAAAATTACACAGCAGCTTTTTTAAACGTTTTACCTGGCTGAAAGCGATTCTTTGTAATAAAGATTTTTTTTCTCTTGTTAATGTCTTTGCATCATTTTAAGAATTATTACTCATTGTTACTGTTTGTCAGACATGGTGAAATAATAAGCCGGCTTGCATACTGAATGCATACTGCATACTTATCAGATGATTTTAATTGATAAAGGAAAAAAAAGAGTAAACACTAGTTTACACGATACACTGTTCTCAATCAGATATTTGTTCTGTTATACCGAACTTATACCAATGGACAGAGTCAATATTAATACCAAATATATTTATTCTATAAATAAAGACTTATTCCAAGGCTGATATCGCCTACGTTGAAACCCGTAGACAATGATAACCTTTCGGAACGAAGAAACAGATATGGTATTGCTGGTTGAGCCAGACTTATGATCATGCGCACTATTTGTAGGAACACGACATACGCACATTGAAATTACAAAGAAATGAAGGATATGAACAGAAAGTACGTACATTTGCATGCATGTAAAAATAACTGGAGAAAAAATAATTACACAACTCATCGAAACTTTATTTTGCCTAAACATTCTTCATGAAGTTTATTTCTATCATCGTGTACAATTGTGCGAAGTTTTCGTTTTTCTCTCTCCCCCCCCCCCGCACCCCCTTTGGATCGTCCTCATTTCACTATGTGGTGTACACATTAGACCCATTGTTTATTATCAACCGTCAGGCTCATAGCGTGTCTTTTGAAAGCACGCTTACAACACACACTTTTTTTTTGTTATGATGATTTTAGAAATGGACAGCGTTTTTCCTGACTAACTTGCGTTGCTAAAGGTATAATAATATCGTCGCTTCATGTTGATGATGTAATTCGGTGCCAGCGCGATACGGTATACGCTCTTCTCAGGGAAAACCATGAATTTATCCCATAGAAACGCTTGCTCATTTCGCATTGGATAGAATATACGATATTTCAATTTTTTTTTTTTTTTTTTTTTTTTTTTTTTTTTTTTTTTTTTTTTTTTTTTTTGCTTTTTAAAAAAAACAAACTTATCATCGTCGGGGTTGAGTTAGCGCATATGCCAGTGACAGTGCTACTTCAAAGTTTGCACTGAAAATGTTTTACTCTAATAGATATATCCTAAGATTTAATAGAGAGACCAAAAATAACATAATTACATATCTGAACTTTAGAAAGCAAAAAAATAAATAAATATATATTTTTTTATGTTCAGTAATTTTTTTTTTTTTTTTTTTTTTTTTTTTTTTTTTTTTTTGCTTTTTAAAAAAAACAAACTTATCACCGTCGGGGTTGAGTTAGCGCATATGCCAGTGACAGTGCTACTTCAAAGTTTGCACTTAAAATGTTTTACTCTAATAGATATATCCTAAGATTTAATAGAGAGACCAACAATAACATAATTACATAACTGAACTTTAGAAAGCAAAAAAATAAATAAATATATATATATATATGTTCAGTACCGGTAGTCACAGGCGCTTCGTACTGGCGGTTGTATTCGCTTCCTGATGCAACCGTGTCATAGCTTTTGTCTGGAACATTCGTTTGGCCAGTGTGTGACTCATTGATACGTAAGGGTTGTTTCCCCCTACGAATGAGGTAGCAGATCACTAGGAGAAATGAAATGCTAGTGGCACAGGCAACACCAAGTCCAATGCCGAGACCAATAATTGTTTTCTGTGAATTGTTTTCCTGCACCTCTCTAATACTGATCTCTTGAACAAAAAATAAATGAAAAATTGTTTATGTTAAGATAATTATTCTGTCTGTCTATACTGCCCTGTGCTTCTTATCCTGTCCTATCCTGTCCTGTTTGTCTGTCTGTCACTCTATCTATCAATATGTCAATATATCAATATATCAATCTATCAATATATCAATCAATTAATCAATCAATCAATCTATCTATAATTTTATCTATCTATCTATTTATCTATTTATCTATCTACCTATATATCTATCTATTTATCTATTTATCTATTTATCTATTTATCTATTTATCTATTTATCTATCTATCTATCATCTATCTATTTAGCCAACTATCCATCTATCTCTCTCTATATATTCTGTTACAATGTTAAAAGCGGGAAATTCTCCAAACATTTAACTAATTATATTTAAAAAAAAGAAACAAAATGTCTCTTCATTAAAATAAATGTCCTTTACCTTCATCACACATATATCCTTGATATCCTGTAAGACATTGCAAACAGTGTCCAGTGATATAATTACATTTCCTGTCTTTACAGGTCTGAGAACATGGCAATGAACAGTTACTACTGTAATATCCATCAGAACAGCCTGTGTTGCGAAAATTGTAATCTTTTTTTTTTTTTAAATTAATAAAAAATGACGGGTATGATTATTTTGGAAATTCAGATACTAACCTTTTCATTCAATTATTTTATAAACAACGTGCCAAACAATGGAGACAGAATTCCCCATCTACTAAAGTTAACTTATAAAGCATGCATTCTAGTAACGTTCTTTATAAAATTGCACAAATTAGCGTTCATTTCTGGTAATTTTAATTTGCGCCCCCATTGTACACAGCATTGCACCCATAAATACCTAAATAGCTAAATAATTATTATTGAGTGTGACCAAAAAAAAAAAGTTGTTACATAAGTGTTTATTCACTCTTAATATCAAAATAGAATATAACAAGCTTAAAAGTTCGAAGAAAAGAATATAAAGAAATCAAAGGAAACTATTTAATGAGGTCTGTACATTCAGATTTTATTTATTTTTTTTTTCTTTTACTAACATTCTATACTGATTTATTTCAAATGAACAGACCAATGATTATCAAATGTCCTATTATTATTTATTTATAACTTTAAAAAAAATAATAATTTCTAAATGTCAACGAAAACACAATCTCTTTCAGATTAAAAGATGTACACTTCTTTGGTATAAATATCTATTTTTTTAAAAAAAATCACCTTTGAAGTTAAGAGATTTCACATAATGCTCAGTCAGGAAGGTTTAAATGAAAACAGTTTATACAGCACTGGTTGTTAGCCATGGTTGTCATTTTGAAATGCTTGCCTACGGAGGGAGGACATCTTACAAATTTCGAATGCGAATGGGACAACTCTAAAATTTTACAAGCATTTTTATAATATACTCTAACCAAGCGCTCAAAATTTTCTGTCTTTCAGGCTTACCTGGACTGCAGTCTGGAAACTTAGTATAACCTACTTCACAGGCAAGTGTACATTTACCATGAAAACGGTCACATGATTTATTTAAACAACTGCTACATTCATTTATGCAGTTGACTCCCCATTTTCCAGGTAAACATTCTGGAAAAAAAGTTAAATAATTTATTTAAAAAAATATATTTTTTTACAAATTAAATTGATTTCGTTTTAACAACTCGAAATAGATTTTAAAAAGATTGAAGTTTTGTTGTAAGACTAATTTTAAACAAAACAATCAACAAACTATGCTCAATAGATTTGTTGATTGTCATGGCAGATATATATATATATATATATATATTGTATATATATATATATATATATATATATTAAACGAAAAGACGAATAAGATGTGTTAAATAAAAAGAAGACAAGAGTCTCGAAACATATATATATCTATTATGTATACATTTGTTGTTGTTTTTTTATATGTGTGTCGTTTTTAATCAATAGATTTGTTGATTGTCATGGCAGATATATATATATATATATATATATTGTATATATATATATATATATATATATATTAAACGAAAAGACGAATAAGATGTGTTAATTAAAAAGAAGTCAAGAGTCTCGAAACATCTAAATATCCATTATGTAAACATTTGTTGTTGTTTTTTTAAATGCCTGTCGTTTTTACATTATTACATTAATGCGGTCTCTTTAATAGTATAATAAAATAGCAGCTCAAGTCTGTGGTCTGTGTAATAATTATAATTTTTTCTCAATTCTAAATTCGTTTTATCCCAAAAAATCACATGACCACTCATTCCCGTTCTCCAACCAATATTAACACATTTAAGTTGAAACATTCATGAAAACAACTCACCCCGTCCAGTGATACAACATGACGACAACACAAGACAATCAGGTCACCAGAGTCATTCTTCTGATATTTTGGGGCCATATGGTGGAGCGTAGGTATCAGGTCCCGGAAAAGAGGGGGGGGGGGATACGGGGGGCGGAGCTTCCCCGTAGCGGAGGAGAAAACACCACCAACTAATGCAACATCTCAGTTCTGCCTTCGGCACTGTTTCCTCTTTCCTCGCGGTTAACCCCTAATTGGTAATTCAGCCACGAGAAAAAAATGAATATTCTAAAATATATGGAATTGCAATTTGTAGGCTAAAAAAAGCGACCTTTGTAGTGGGGTCCTAGGTGGAGGCCTAGTTTGGATATATCTGAGAATGCCTCTGGATACACACTACAACAATAATCGTCAGTCACTCATTCCGTCACAGGCTCAAAAAATAAAGTACATGTAATTATGTTCTCTAAGGCCGATTCGTCAATGATTAGAAGCAACAAATATTAGTGTAAAATTTAAACAATAAAACTAATAATCCGTTTTGAAAGTCACGTTTTTAGTGTTTAAACAGTGGACTAATGTTAAGATAAAACAGTGCAATTATTGTTTACAGCTCTCTCCTTTCTTAACGAGAACATACTGCTGAATTCTTGAAACAAATACAATGGTTCATTAAATTTTAATACGTACGTGTCGTGCACACTGGTGAGTCACTATATCCATTACATCCTTTATCACAGACGCCGGTTTGACTGTTACAAGATTGGTTATAACATTTGGTGCTGCAGCTTTGAGTGCAGTTTATACCCCAGTTTACCGATTCACATTCTGCAAAAAAAAAATAATAAACATAAATTAATGTAGTCAATTAGTCAATAACTTTGCCATGGCTAGAAATAAAACTTAATCAATGAATGGCTATTGATTTTTTTACCCCCACCCCCCACCCGAACTTAGAGAAAGGTAATATTTTAAAGTAACATAGGTCTAAAGCAAATAAAATTAATCATTGCTTGTGGGAGAAAATTTGCCAAGAAAGGAAAGGCGATTTAAAAAACTAATTCTATGCATAATGTGCACCATGACTATAAAAATGGAAGCGACAAATAGGCAAATAAATGATTTGTTGAAATTCTGAATTTAAAAAGTTACTTTTGGGCGATCTATAATCTAATTAAAACCCGTTTGCTGATTAATTCATTTCCATCTTTTTCAATATCTCAACAAATATAACGTGTGAAATATATTCGCCGAGCAGTCTTATCTAGTGAGCACGCGAATGGTATTTTCTATAATATAAAGTACTAACTTTGAGCCTAAAATACAGTTTATTTCTGAGGATAGCACCCGCTTCATGCATCTCGCTGATTTGAAAAATACCAATTCTGATTTTAAATGTCTTCCAAATAACTGATTTGGAATCTCATTTAAATTAAAGTAATGTACTTAATAAAATCGCTCATTTCTCTCTTTCCACTAAAATATGTCTAAATGTTAAAATTTGTTTGAGATATTCTGATCCTGCATTAGGCTACTTTGATTTTCGGACACATCTTTTAGCCCTCCCCCCCTTCCCTCCCCCCCCCCCCAAGCCCGAAAAAACAACTAACCGACTCTTACACTGGGCTATTTTTATTTCTTTTTATTTATTGATTTATTTCTTTCATTACACAGACTTTTCTCTCAGAGAATGTTAATATTTGAGAGATTCTGATCCTGCATTAGGCTACATTGATTTTCGGCCACATCTTTTAGCCCCCCCCCCCCTCCCCCCCCCCCCCCCCCAAGCCCGAAAAAACAACTAACCGACTCTTACACTGGGCTATTTTTATTTCTTTTTATTTATTGATTTATTTCTTTCATTACACAGACTTTTCTCTCAGAGAATGTTAATATCTTAAAAAAAGAAGAAAACCCTTTATTGTTGCAGTTTACTATTTCCATTATCCTACCATCTAGTATTTAGTCTTATGGTGTTTTAAATTTTAATGTTCTTCTATTTACTCTACTTACTTTAATTATCTAATAAAACGTATCATCACAGCATCTTCGAGTGCAATTCTCAAACACTTAAAGATTCGTAGTGAGGTTGAACATGTAAAATACCTTCGTCGCATGCTGGGGGGTCGCTGAAACCAACACAAGCTTTACAAAAGCCAGTCTCAGCATCACAGGATGTCCTACAACTTTGTTGACATGTGTTGTTACAATCAAGACCCCAGGTGCCAGGATCACATTCTACAAATGAGACGATTTTTAGATGTAAATTAAAATTGATTAAAATAGTTGTTTTTGCTTTGTTTTGATTTATATATTACGTCCTTAAAATGATTGCATTAGATTTTTCTACCCCTTACCTGTTTTAAAATATTTCATCACATATTTTTTTTAATGTTTAAATTATTGCAAAAGAAAGAGAAGATACAGGACTCTAAATCAAATCTTTTTTCGACTAAGCTTTATAACACTTAGTACCGATGTATCGGCAACAAATAAATATTCTCAAAACAAGTTTTTTGTTCAAATAAAATATCAATTCATAACAATAAATTAGAAAGAAACGTTTATTTAACTATCGCACTTATCCTTACCTGCGAATGTCTGCACTTCGCACAGTGTTAGTATACCTGAGCTTGAGTTAACCGTTACGCCAACAACTGAAACACTTCTTTCAATGTAGGGCACAATTATCGTGTACACCAGCATGGGCGTGGTGCGAGCGTCTTTGAAGGAAAACACTGTTTCTTTGATAGTGTTGAAAGTTTGGAGACCAAATTGTATTAACCTTTCTGGGCAGCAAAATATGGAATCTGAAAAAAAGTATTTTTAAATTCAATTGAATATGTAAACAATTTTCATTACATGTATAACAATTAATTTATTTGACTAATAAAAATATAAATGATTACTGACTGAAACTAAAAACAATGAAATTATGATTACACATTTATCTTGGAAATTCAAAAGGAGATTTTAAATAGTTTATTTTTTTTTTAAATTAATCCGTCTACAATTTAAATTTTAACTTGTAGGTTTACATTTAAAAAAAAACAAAACAAGTTGCTTTTTTTGATCGGTATAAAAAAGGATTCTAATTTGATATTCTGCACGATTGGGTATAACTATGAATGTGTATTCAATATTTCATCTCATTTTTTTTTTCGATCTGACCTTTATAGCCATATCTGTTGTATAAAACTATTCTGTTAATTGCATGGGACTGACTAAACGTTACAGTCCATTTCGGGGAGGAATCGACAGTATCTGTGTGAGTGCATGTGTTGTTTTCAAAGACGCTGCTTGTATTCCCATCGACTGCATTAGATGCTAAGGCTCTTTCGATTCCCTCTAAAGTATATGTGGAGCTCTGAACAGTATTCTGTTTTAATGCTACATTACGACCTAAAATAACATAATTAATAAAAATGTTTACTTACAAATATTTCAAACAGCTTTGGTTATTAATAGAACAATTCATAATGTATTAGAAATTAATATAAATGTAGTAAATTAGCCCACTTTCCATTTGCACTTGAAGGGATTGGTAACATTTTAATTTAACGAGATTTGTAACCTCCTCGCTGTCTGTTTTTTTTTTTTTAATAGTAAAACATTACCTTCCAAAAAATGAAGAAAAGCAATAGAGAAATTATAATATAGAATGAATGAAGAACTTTTCTCTCATAACTGTGTATCGCGGATATAGAAATATTACCGCATCACCCAATTCTACGAGAACTCCATCAGCTGCATAGAAGGCTCTGCACCGGAATATCTTAAAGAAATGATTTATTAACATGTATCCAGAACCTGTGGTCTTCAACACAGTCTTTACTGAAAATTCCCAGTGTGGATGAATACAGAAAAAAAGTCTTACGGAGTGCGCTCTTTTAAAGTGACAGCGCTTAAATTCTGGAACTATTTGCCTCAAACTTTAAGGCGATTAGAAAATGATTAAAAATCATTTAAGTAACATTTAAAGTCTTTTTTGTTTAAATAGGTTTAAAAACGCCATAGCGCAGTGAGCATGCTAAAGTAGCATAGATAACATGGCTAAATAAATATCCAATCAATCAAACTTATAGATCAATCCAGGTTATAATTATTTAACACATATTTCCCAACATTCAACTGACTGTTCATTGGTATGAATTTACTCACCACCACTAATGTAAAGAGAACATAGCGACTTAACACCTTCTCCTCCAACAACGACCTGCATTACATCTACCGTCATTTGACAACTGATGTCCACTGTTGAAGTGTCTATCACATAGATGTGTTGGTTGTTGCAGGGAGTTTCTGTTAAGATGTTTCCATTCGTTCTGAAGGAAATCTCAAACTTTCCTGCGTACGCTTTAAAAAAAAAAAAAACAATTTAATGACAATAATATGTCATTATAGGAATTAACAACACTCTCGCGTTAAATGTCACACACTAGCAACACATGCCTCAACGCGTACGCCTTGTAAAAAACATACAACCATTCCTCTGCCCTAACTTATTATCCCTTTAATACGATAAAGCCTACTCCCTAAACTCCAATATCTCCACAAGAACACATTATCTTTCCGTTACCTCAAACTTTTCTAATAATTTCTACCTTGTTCTCCCCTTTTACCTCAACACACCATCAGCTGCATAGAAGACTTATGTTTTATCCATTTACGGGCTTCCTTCCTCTTTGCCACTGTCTTATCTTCAAGAATCTTTTCACTTCTACTACACTGACCACACCATTAATTTAATTATATCTTACATATAATTTTTTTTTATATAGGTGATAAGGCTCTTTCGATTCGCTCAACATATAGAACCATATACTTTTTCTTTTTTTAATCTAAAGATCTTCACAGACAATACATAAAAGGGCAATTTACAAAAGTATGAAAACGCAAGAGAAATAAACTTACAATTTCAAAGTAAACGATTTTAAGCCAAATCAAAAAAGTTAAGAAAAAAAAATACTTTAAAAGAAATTAAATTAAACTGAAGAAAACACACCCATACCGCTTTCCTTGAAAGTAAGTCTAAACCATGATAAAGGGTAGGTGATATTCCATGCTACAGCAACAGACTGTAGATTGTTGTCTTGATTGCAGGTAGAGTCATCTCTGTCAGTGATCCAAGTGTTAGATGTTTGGAACGGGTTGATGGTTATTGTAGTAGACGGTACACTGCTTAAATCCTCTGTAAGAATTTTTTTTTAAAAAAGCATTTAACATTTAGTTTTAAAAAAAAAACACAACAACAACAGCAAGAAACGTGTTGATCTCCCGAATTAGAACTCTATATTTTATTCTGTTTTTTCTCCTAAAGATACCTTCATGTTTTTTTCGTGTTCTTTTAGGGATTTCACAAATAAGTAAACTTTATATAAAAATGCCATCCTTTTAACATATATATATATATAAAAGATAAATTTTTCTGTGTCAGCAATGCATAATTATGCAAATGAAAACTCACACCTGGTAGCCAATATATATTATACACTGAAAATATGATATGACTTTGATTATTGCACAAATATACTTATAATAAATAACTATATAAATAATGTCTTGAAATAATCTGAATCCAACTAATGCAGTTTTTAAAATACATTCTTCTTTAATTTATGTCTTAGGTAAAATGAAAGCAAAAATAACTTAATCTCAAAACGTGAACTTAATTTACCAAGTTAAATGTTGATTATCCGCGTTAAAATTTAATTCCATTCTTCTATAAATGTGTAACACGCAATGGTAGGGCTGGTTCTCCCACTTTGAAGATTTAATAAACTATTGCATATCAACAATGGTATAATAAAGTTAAATAAACATTATACCGTTGTAACCAAAACATTGAAATAATGACCATTTAAACTCAGTTGACTTTTAGTAAATAAAAATCCTAGAAATTGCAGTTTAAAATGTAATTCTGTGATAAACTGGGGGGGGGGGGGGGGGGAAAAGGGTGGACATAAGCACGAACAGTATTTATTTTTCTTTTTTTGAGAAAGTCGCAAATGGACACTGTCAAAAGACCCGTGTTGTCTTATTTAAAAAGTCTAGAAAATAAAAGGAAGCTGAACTGCAGGCGTTGTAAACTAGTCTCAGAAACGGTGGAACAGCTGGTAACTTAGTAGCCCAACATTGGCCTTGAAGAGTTTAGGACAATAAGCATGTGCTACGTGACTGATATACGCATGGTTCGGCCGAAAAAAAGGCAGTTTTTTGCCAAAAAGCTAGTCGTGGTCTATAAAGCGTGATTGTGCTCGGCAACACCAAGGGTATGAATTAGTAACGATAATTTTATATGGCAGGAAGTATATATTATAAGTACGATTTGCAACTATTTCAAAAGAATAACCTAGATTGTATGATAATTATATGGTCTTTATAATTAAGCGTTCGTGAACACAGAGAGCTTTCATGATATGTGAACTTTCCTTCCTGATGCTGATAACATTTTCTTTAGCATCGTCTTTTGTAGCGCTACAGCCCATGTAGGACAAGGATCAGTTCCATAACATTATTCCATTCGAATCGATCCATGGCTTCTGTCACCATCCTTGGAACACATCTAGTGTAACTAATTGTCTAAATTGCCAATCTATCTCAGTCTTGGTCTTGAGCTGTATTGTAGCTATAACAGGATATTTTTTTTTATGTAGATCAGTTATGCTGCTCTACACTGCGCCATCCAATTTTCCCTCTGCATTGTTGCGACAATGGGTGGATATTAGAACACTTAATGGCTCTTGTTCTTTACGGTTTCTCAATCATTTTTATCACACGAATGTATACTTTCCTGAGGATTATCTTGCCACGAGCGAGCAGGTTCTTTGCTTTCCTAGTAAGGAACCTATTTCAATTTCGTAAATTATAACTGGTATTACTAAATTGGTGTATATGGATACGATTTTCTTATCCATGCAATTAAATAACAAATAAGCTGAAAACTTACGGTATTGACATGCCAAACCGAACCATCCTTTTACACATTTAGAGTTGTCTGTACATTGTCCGGTTCTGTTGTTGCATTTGTCATTTTCACAATGACATTTGTATTGACAATTTGACCCAAACCATCCTGTCGTATAACAGCCTGTGATTAAAAATATAAAAGTTTATTTAAAATATATAAATAAATATATATATATTTAAACTGTTGTACCCCGTGTGTTTACCTTGTTTTCTTCACCACAAGCCGTGACACGCAACCTTACCTCCCCATCCCTTTTTTATAATAAACACCCCGATGTTTTGTGTATTCTTATCATTACCCACCCCTTTCTTGATTGGGAAATAAAATTTTGTTTACGTTCTAATTTATTCAAAAAGAAACATAGAGAAAATGAACAACTGTGTTCAAGCTGTGTGAAAGAAATAGTAGAACAAGGTATGTGAAAGCTTGAAATATAAAGACACGACAACAAAAAGGTTTCGTCTAAGAGCTTTACTCAGCAGACAGAATAAAAAAAATAAACACGATATAGAAAACAGGAGAAAATCCTTAGTGTTTTGAGATCGGCATGAATACTATATTTTCTATATTAATTATTAGAAAAAGTAAAATAATGTATAATGTCTCATTATTGTTAAAAATAAGATTTTAGCTGACAAATAAAAATGTATAAATATGTAAAATATAAGAAAACTTATCCTGTGAAATAACAACTGAAATAACATTTTCTGAATCAGCTCTTTGTTACATCAAAGTATGATCACAAGAACAGGCTATTATTATTTTTTTTCGCATTATTTATTTCAGATACAAGCATTAAACCTTAGCACTCAGGCTAATTCATATTTATTTTGTTTTAAAGATCCTTTTGTAAATTTTTGTTGTCAGATTTTTCCTAGACACGAGGTTTCTGTCCTAATAAAATATTACTTGGTATAAAATAAAATGTTATTGAATCTCATTAAAAAAGTGATAGCGTAAAGTAAACTATACAAAATATTTACCTTGAGAATAAACAAATGACAAACATACCATCAGTAACACTACCCAGAATAACAAATATCTTGTATCCATTGTCAAGGTCCCGAAAGGAATTGCTAAACTTGTAGTAGTGATGGACCAGTAAGATTCTTTAGGATTTTCCTTTTAAAAAACACAAATTATATCTCATAATTTTTATCCTCTTTTTTTCTAGGCAAGTCAATATAAAGAACATGTAATTGTTTAACATGAATTACTTATTTCATTTCTTTTAATACTATTTGTATAACTGTTCTTTAAGCACTCTTCACACAAATGAAAACACGCAGTATTCATTTTTCTTACAGATATCCTGTATTATGTGACCTACTGAGCCAAACGTAACCATAAATTCTCTTGCTTAAGCAAGAAGGAAGTTAAAACTCTTTTGGCCCTATTCCTGAACGTGCACAACACGAACTTATGCATGGTGCTATTTTTAGTGCATTTATTTGTAAGTGCCCGTTAGAATGAACACCAGTTTAAGGATATTTGATCGATATTGATTTATGGATTGGTAAATAGCTATGCAAGCAATTGACATATGTTATAGGTGAAGGTTACCGACTTCCATATTTATTTATTTATCCCCCCCTCCTACCCCACCCTCGATGCTAGTCAATTAGGATTTTGAAATGACGAAGAACATTGTAACCACCTTTTAAAATCCAGAAGCCTCCGAAAATGTATTCAGTTTTAAATTCACACATTTTTTTTTATTAACCTATTATTTTCTTTTTTTTCCCCCTTTTCTTTTTATTCAATATGTCGGCTAAAATTATCTGTTTACATTATTCAAAATAAATATATATATATTTATATAACTAAACAGTGGGTCACGCAGTCTAAATAAAACGTTTATATTAGTTTTTTGTCATTTAATGAAAGCCAAAGAATACTTTTAGCAATTTTTAACATTTCGTGTCAAATGGCAATCCTAGGGATGGTGCGAAGGGTCGAGCGCCCTTGCAAAGCCGGCCATTGGTAAACTTTTGCCCTGTGCGAAGCACCCGTTTGGTGCCCCCTTCCCTGTCCCTGTTTGTCTCCGCTCTTTTTCCGATCACGACGTATGCTATGGAGCCCGTGTTATGTTGCTATACATGTAGCTAACCTTACGCATTTTAGCATGCACCTTAATTTAGACTGTTTAATTTTATAATAAACTAAGGGAATTGAAATATTTACTGGGCGCCCCAGGCACCCCTATGCTCTCGGCACCCATGTGTGCGAGGGCACAGGTTGCACACCCTAAAGGCCAGCGTTGGCCCTCGGTCGCACTCTTCGTGTCGATATTGCACTTTCTAAATTTTGTGTTTATGTGTGTCTTATGTAAGCGAACTTTCCGATCAAGTTTGAATGTATCGTAAATCAATTTTACCAGAAGACCACGGTGTAATACTTCATCTTATGGGGCCCTTGGTAATACATCGCTTAAATGAATTACAGATATTATTCCGAGCGCACCCGTATACGCCAAGTTAATAAAATGGGGTAGAACATTGTTTTTATTCAGCATTGAACGAGTTGTGTCTTTGGTCTTGCTATATTCCCAATACTAGCAGGACTTGCAGGGGTGGCGTAGGAAGGGTGGTGCGTTCGGGGGCGTCATTTCAGTTTTTTTCAGGGGGTGGGGGGCAAAACCAAAACTTGGACGGATTGTTAAATTTTTAATTACTGCAGGTGCCACAGAACATAGCAATTTAAATGAAACCTGTAAATTCAGTGGGTCGGGGGGGGGGGCGGGGCAATGACCCACTTGCCCTACACACATAACGTTCCTGGGTCCACCCCGGTCGGCATTTTTTTCTCTATAGAGATAGGCCGTGTTTTTGGCGACCTGCCGTGGGTATTTTTAATGGTGGGGGCCCGCCCCCTTGTGGCGCTACCCATGGCTAGGGGGGGGGGGGGGGGGGCGGGGGGGCCAATGACCCACTTGCCCTACACACATAACGTTCCTGGGTCCACCCCGGTCGGCATTTTTTTCTCTATAGAGATAGGCCGTGTTTTTGGCGAACTGCAGTGGGTATTTTTAATGGTGGAGGCACGCCCACTTGTGGCACTAACCATGGCTACGCCACTGTATAACATGTACAGATTTGTATATAGACTATGAAAACCGCGAATAGAAAGGAATATCCCAACTCCCTTGTGCGGTCTTTAATTAAAGTAGTCAGATAATGCTGATTAATAGAGCGCTTAGCACGGAACAAGCCGTAATTGTATAAATAACAGTCGTAATTGAAACGCCACACGATCAATCACAAACAGGAAGTAAAACTGTGTATAAAAGTTTATGTTTTTTGTGACCGCATGTGCCGTAGGAGATGATACAAAACGTTGCACTATGGCAAACGGTGGATTTAATCTTACGCTCATCAAGGCACAAAATAGATTCATAAATAATTTTTTATCAAATTTCTCAGTTAAATTCAAACTACACTAAAAGAGTATGACAAGAGGAAAAAAAAAGTAAGAAAAGCTTTGCAACATCATGCATCTATGGCATGGCTTGCTGGAGCTACGGTCAAAGGTCGGTTATAAATATAGTTTGGGGAAATACACAAAAGCAGCAAGGTCACTGCATGAACTGAAAGTACAAAATAAACACGTTTTTTTTAGTTGTTTTTTTTTACAAAGGAAGCCGGTATAGAAGTAACCTATGTCTTGGAAGATTCGCCTTGGTTTTATTGTATCACTTTCTAATAAATATCCTACTCTCAAGTATGCCAATTCATACTGTTAATGCATAGACAATAGATTTTTCATTACCAACAAAAAAATATAAAAATATTGAAGGTTATTATAATTACAGAATCCTAAGCTCTTAAGTTTAATTATAAATTTGACAGTGCACCAATACAAAATGTCTCGATTTATGGTATGTGAAAATGGATCGTACACGTAAAAGTTAAAGGGCCTAACTAAAATTCGATGATTGTGCAGCGCTCTATTGGTCACAAACAGAACTGTAAATGAATGTGCTCGGGTTGTGTAGAGTACAGCATACGGTTCGTGTCACACAATCAGTGGTAAAATTCTCCGGGTCACCGTGACCAGTAGCTGCTCTTAAAATGTTAGTTTGCTTAAGATTTTTTATTCAAGGGAAGTAACTTTATTAAATATTCAAAAATGAATATATATTGTTATTCAAATAACATACCTTGGAATTGACTTTTACACCAAGCAGTTAAATTACCCCCACCCCTTTTTTTGTTGTTGTTGAAGAGTTGGCCATGAAAATGGGTTTTAAATATATAACTATACTATGTTTCTATAAAAAATACAATCTTTGGTAAAACTTGGAGAATTGAAAGTTATTGGGGTGAGACTGTGATGAAAGCATGTAGAGTTTGAAAATTATCCGTGCAATACTAAATTTAAATTGTATGTCTGTGCCACACCATAATTTTCCCAAAGCGCAAAGCCTACCCTAATGAGATTGATTTTGAACCCACAACCTTCTGGTTAGGTATTGGGACTCCATTATATACTCGATAGAAGTTCACAGTTATGCAATGCGTCCTACACTAACGAGTTGATTTCAGCCCTTCAGAAAAAGCCTAACAATTTTATGAATACGTTTTATCAATTATTTCCCGGATTTTCTATAGCTTACGCTTTCACATGTGATCTTAAAAATCTCTCTCATTCTCTCTGTCCTCTTAATCACATTTTCCCTGTGTTGCTAAGCCTCTCTGGCATGCACTCAAACTCTCTGCCGTCTTTTATAGATAAAATATAGGCACTTAAGATCTATATGAATTATCTTTCAGCAGTATATGACAGTCAGCAGTGAAGGTTGTTATAATTCAAGTGTTGCTGTTGGACTTAAATAGAAGTCTGAGCTTACCTTTCAGAATTTTATTGTAACACTTATAGCCAAGAAAATGTTCTTTCAATGACATTCGTTTTTCACCGAATATGTAGGTTGACATAAATGCAATGTGCTTTAATTTATCAGATGTAAATATTAATTTTGCGTTTCATGCAATCAATTTCTGACACGTGTAAACTGTTAATCTTCTCTTTATATAATCTAAATAGACCCACATTATAACATTAAAGTTATGTAGCTGTTGGTATGAAATATTTTCAATTATGCAAGTTGATTAATTAAAAAAAAAAAAAATTAAGATTTATTCACACAATTAATCAAACGAATCTTATATGAATAAATCATATAAAAGTCTTTAATTTTCATTTCGTTTACATACTATAAATATGTTTATAACGTATATTATATAGTGTATAATACAATGGTTTAATGTTTTATTAAATATATATCGGTAGGTGTTTATTTTTGCATATAAAAGATATTTAATGACTTTTATAAAGCATATCAGCAACCTATCCATTCAAATACTGTTTACAAATAATGTAAGCTAATAGTAGTATGAATTTTACAAAAAAAGTGTATTAAATTGTATGCAATAAATATAATAGCATTACACATAAAAAAGTAAGCATATAGCCAAAGAAAGTGAAACACAAACCAATACATACTTTGTATGAAATAATTAATATTTGTTTATAATTCAACAGAGGCAAGCTATCATCTTGAATTATCAAAAATGATTTAATGACATTAATAAAAAAAAAGGAATCTATTTTTTATATTTTAATATAAGTTTGAATTTAGGTACCAAAAAAAGATATTTGTTGCGAGAAAAATTCTAATTTTAGGGCAGTTATAAGTATAAATAATATATCTTTTAGTAACATTATAACACACTCTTTGATAGCACTACGATACACAATTACTAAATGTAAATAAATGAATTCTTTGGTTATTAATGGTATTTAATTTTAATCAGATCCTAAATCTTTATATATTACATGTATAAAATAACATTTTCTGATTGATCATATTTTTTATTATTTTTTTATCAGAAATTTGCATCAAGATAATTTTAAAATTCATTAAAAATTCTTTAAGAACAGATGTAAATTTATCTTTAGGGCAACCTGGAAAACAGAATTGAGATACATTTTTTGTATGGGTAATTTATCTAACATTTCAATTTTTTTACAATATACTTGTTTCCCAGTTTTATTCAAATGAGATGTGGTGTGGCCTAGTAAACAAGGCAGACTAGAGATTTTATACATTTTGTGATCGGGTATTTATGATACCCAAATTTATAAATTTGAAATTTCTTGCACTAGCTTTAGTATAAGAACTAATATCTAACATAATAAATAAAAACTAATATCTAATACTATAACTATAAATTTACA